GCTTGATTATCATCAAGTAAAGCCCTAAGATGCTTCCTTACAGTGTCTTTCCTACGTCCAGTAGGCCTCAAACAAACACGAGCTCGCACTAGGGCATGATCTGAATCTAAACATGTGCCCCAGAACGAGCGACAGTCCTCTATCGAACCCCTCAATCGGTGGCTGATGGCGATATGATCTAGTTGTGTCCAGTCAGTCAGATGCAACGTAGAACTTTGTACATAAGTACATCAGTTCATGTTGCCATACCACATCAGCACAGAGAGGTAATCGTCAATTCAAATCCAATAGTAGAAGAGGTAGTAAGGGAATTAGAAGTAATCGGAGGTTAGGATTAGAAGATACTATTCAAGAAGTATGATTCAGTGAGAAAAGTTTAGAGAGTCGAAACCAGAGGGGTTGAAGAATCCAGAAGATTAGCATTTGAGAGAACACAGAGAATAAATGCACCGGCGCCATTGCGAGCGATTCTGAGCCATGTCATTCAAGGTCTCTAACCATCGATTATTATCATCTCGCGGACCCCAACCAGGTAGTCGACAATTACCGACATGGCTCAGTCCACTAGTCAATGACTTCAAGGATTTCTGCCATGTTTTGGTCTGGCCGCCCCTAAATTTCTTCCGACCTACTCCTACACTACAAAACAAGGCTCGTCAAGGCAGTCGGTGGTTGGGCATACGCAAGACATGTCCCAACCACCTCAACTGATGAAGTTTCACCATTTCATCGATTGATCTGCCATCCTTACCTAGTACTCGTTTCCTAACGACAGCATTGCTTACTCGGTTGTCCCACGGTATACGAGCAATGCTTCGAAGACACCTATGATCGAAAACCAGTAACCTACGAATATCTTCTACTCTCACTGGCCATGTTTCACAGCCATATAGGAGAACGGAGCGAACTGCTGCACAGTACACTCGTCCTTTGATTAGAGAACGGATATCACGCCTACGCCATAAGTGACGCAGGTTGGCAAAAGCCAATCGAGCCTTCTGTATCCGTGCTGAGATTTCGTCAGTCACCAGGCCATCGGCACTGATGAGACTCCCCAGATAAGTGAAGCGGTCTACACGTTCGACTACTTCACTCCCTATCACTAGTTCAGGTGCCGATACAACCCAGTCTTGAAGCAACCTTTTGCATTTCGAGGAGGAAAACCGCAACCCGAACATGCTTGCATTGTTGCTTAGGGTAGTCAGAAGACTCTGCATTTTTTCAGCGTCTTCACCAAGTAGGACAATGTCATCGGCATATTCTAAGTCAATAAGAGAGCCACCTGGTAGAAGGTCTACTCCTGAAAATTCAGACGAGGACAATGTTAACTCTAGGAGCATGTCTATGATAAAATTAAACAAGAATGGAGAAAGTGGACATCCCTGACGGACACCACTTGATGTAGAGGATTCCGGTGACAGTTCGCCATAAGCCCTCACCCGACCAGTGGTGTTCGAGTAAAGAGCTTGTATAAGGTTAATGTACTTCTGTGGTACACCTTTCAATGACAGACACTGCCACAGAACCTCACGATCAACAGAGTCAAATGCCGCCTTAAGGTCTAGGAAAACAACTATTGTAGGACGCCTAAATGTATGTCTATGTTCCAGGACCTGTCGTAGTGTGAAAATGTGGTCTATACAGCCACGTCCAGGTCGAAAACCAGCCTGGTTTTCTCGAGTCTGCTCTTCACGAGCTTTCGTTAAGCGTCGAAGTATTATTGAGGCCAATATTTTAGATACTATATTAGTTAGACTTATTCTCCTGTGATTGTCACAAGAAGACTTTTGTCCTATCTTATAGATTGGGACAATCAAGGATTGAGACCAGTCGGATGGGATTACGTCCAGTTCCCAGATTCTACCTAAGATCTCAGTCAACCTAGCTGCTAAAACTGGACCACCATCCTTAAATATCTCAGGGGTCAGTCTATCAGGACCTGCAGCTCGTCCTCGTTTCAGATTTCCTAACGCTTTCTCAACGTCATTAAGACTAGGGGGACTTAGGTCGATTTGCCATTCAGGATGACTGGAGATCGTGGGTAATCGAAGAGTGGCTCGTGGCCAGTTGAACTGATCCCTAAAGTGTTCTGCCCATCGATCCAGTCTCCTGGATTGAGAATGGATAATAAGACCATCCTTTTCCGAGATAGTCTCACTCACATTCGGGTTCTTAATACCGGTTTCTTTAATAAGGCGGAAAAGTTGTCTACTGTTGCCGATCACCGCTGCCTTTTCCATCGCTTTTGCTTTCGCCACCCACCACTGTTCGCGGTCGTTACGCAGACTTTTTATAAGTCTGCGCCTAAGCTGACTACGCTCTTCATCATGTTCAGAGTCAGGTGGGATGCGTTTTCGAGCATCCATCAGTTCGGTGGATGCGACTGAAATCCACGGCTTCACCCTAGCCTCATGGTTTACCTTGATAGCAGATATCACTGCTGTTTCCACAGCCTTTTTGATATCATACCAACCTGCTTCTGGGTGGGAATCGCTTGCATGGTTGCTTAACTCTCTTTCTAGTTGCTCCTGAAATATTTTCTTGGTTTGATTATCATTAAGTAAAACCCTGAGAGGCTTTCTTACGGTGTCTTTCCTACGTCCAGTAAGCCTTAAACAGATACGAGCTCGCACTAGAGCATGATCTGAATCCAAACATGTGCTCCAGAACGAGCGACAGTCTTCTATCGAACCCCTCCATCGGTGGCTGATGGCGATGTGATCTAGTTGAGTCCAACGTTGAGACGACTTTGGAGGTCGCCAGGTCAACAGATGCTTTTCCTTATGCCTAAAGTTGGTGTTCGCTAAAAATAGGCGGTTATCTGAGCATAGTTGCAACAGACGGTCGCCATTGTCTGTTCTCTCAGTCGCTACACCATAACATCCACCAAGATGTCTTTCCTTTTCACCTAGTCTACCTACTTGAGCATTAAAGTCACCAGCCATTATTACTATGTCAGAGCGCTTAGCTTTTTGGAGGAGGTCCGAAAGCTTTCTGTAAAACTCATCTTTAACCTCGTCTGCACTGCAGTCAGTGGGGGCATAGGCAGATATGACGAAGAGGCAACGGCGAGTGTCCCTATCCTTACGAGTCCTTACTGTCCCGTTTAGTCGGACAGCGCACAAACGACTATCTACTGGGATCCAGTCTAGGAGAGATAATTCTGCCCTAGGACTCAACGCTATGCCTACGCCAGCAAGACCCCTGGAAGCAGCATCAGGGCTACCGGATACACGAAGAGTAAATCGAGCTGCTTCTTCGTTTTGACAAGGTGGAATCAGGTTAATGACTTTACTAGGATCCTGTATGCGCGTTTCCGAGACGCAGCATACATCGATGGCACGAGTTTCTAAAGTCCTAGCTAATGATGCCTGTTGCCCTATTTGACACAATGTCCGTACATTAAAAGCTCCAATATGTAGTCTAGAACGGGGTTTCAAGAGACCAGGAACGACTTTTCGGGATCTCGCTTCGTCTGCATTAGCGGTGCAGTGAGAAAAGGGAGTGTGAGTACAGTTAGTCGTAGAGATAAGAGAGACATGAGGGGGTGTAGGAAGGATTTGATTTTGACCAATTTGGTCTCGCGTGCTGGTACGGGTATGAGGGCGGTTGTCACTTCCCGGCTGCCCACACCGTGGAAGGTTGTTTCTTGAGGGACCTGAAAAGGAAGATAGATTAGTGTTGGTGCGTGACCGCAGAGCCCAAGGGACAACTGCTTGAGGCCGGTCACGCACGGCCTTTTTATGAAACGTTTTTTGAGGATTAGCTCCGTTCTTAAAGGCCCTTAACGGGCACCCTTACCCAAGGAGACGGAAATCCGTGAGTTAGGGGGAGTGTGACATTTTTAGGGCCGACCTTTTCTAACCCTTCCTTCCTTGTGAGAAGGCAGCATCGCTGCAGATGCTGGTTGTCCGAGGGAAACACCTTACTGCTGTCACACCCCTCTGCAGTCAGCAGTACGACTTCGCCCTCAGACCTTGGGTAGCTGCTTTTAGTCTCATCGTTCTCCAATCGACCAGCCTGGCATGGTAGGACCTGCAGGAACATATGTTCCAGCCAGTATAGCTCGGTTGGGTCATCACGATAGGCAAGCCCGACCACCACGTCAAGGTAGCAGCTACGGTCGGGGGATTTGAGAGAAGCCAAAGACTGGATCCAGCTGTGCCATTGAGAATGGCTTCGAGCCACGTCATTCAAGATCTTTAACTATCAATTACCATCATCTCATGGACTTCAGATGATAGTAATCGATGTTTAGAGATTACTATCATTATAAACAAGACAATGTAATGTAGAAGGCATTGTTTGGATTATATAGTTGGGCCTTATGCTTGTTAATGGATAAATACAAAGAATAATATTATAACTGTTGGAGACATTTTTTCTGTTTTAAAGTGTTTAAGACAGTATTTCTTTAAAAAAAACTGTAATTAAATAATGTGGTTAACGCAGTATCAAAAATATGAATAAATATTCAGACGCTGAACGAAATTATTTATATATTGAACAAGTTCGTTGTCATCCTGAGGTGTATGATAATTCTAACACACACCTCGGTCAAAAAACACTTCCCTTAGAAAACTAGTTTATTTAATTAACATAACAACAACAAACATTATTGTAAAACTCCGTGAAACATACATGTTTTTTGTTACTTGAGAAATTTCATGTTATTACATCATTTCGTGATCTGATGAAACCTTTGCACACCATATAAATAATCATCATACGTCATAATTATTAATTTGGTGCACGTGATGCAATCCATCGAATTGTTGAATCATTGTTTTGTTTTGTAAAAAGAAATCACAGTAATACAACCACGGTTAATGAACACAAATAGAGTAAATTAAAGTAAGATCAGTTGAAATACAAAACTGCAGCAGCAGCAAGTAACAAAATAAAGAATTAAAAAACATATATTACTCCAAAATAACAATGATAATAATAATAATAATAATAATAATAATAATGATAATAATAATAATAATAAAACACAATACACGAAACCCAAAAAGAACAGGCTATACAAATACACGCTCTGACAATAAGAGGTGAATAATACAGTTTAATTAGTCATAGACACAATGACAATAAAACGAGACAATTAAACCACTAGTACCAGAAAAAAAACACTTTATAAGTAGAAGACGAAATACTCAGGAAAAAAAGCCAAAAAACAACAAAATAGAATGACTTGAAATTTTTAACAAAATAATAATCACGATGTTGTTGTGCAAGGTGTATTTAACTAACTTTAAGAAAAGTTTGTTTTACACTTTTTCATTTCATTTGTGATCTGATGTATGTTCACCAACTGGTTACGTATGGGCATATTTTTATAGGGACTCTGTGTCATTACCTTTTGAAAACGATGGTAGTGTTGAATAAGTTGAGCAAGTAAACCCTTTAAAAAAATTAATAAATTTGTTTTAGTACAAAAATTGTTATTATGAAATAAAATAAATTTACTCGTGAAAAAATATGTATGTAAATGGTGAATTATTTCTATTAAAAAAAAATGAGATACTGAAACTAAGTAGTCGGTTCTCGCTGATTTGTACCGCGTATCTTGCATATACTTACCATCATTCAATAAGGAAAACTTTGCGATCAATAAAACTTATCAAACAATAGACAGTAGAACACATGTGCCATCAACGGATAGATTTTAATCAAACGGATCATGTAAGTGAGAAATGATCTTTTATACACCAAAATAACATAAATTAATGTATTTAACACATGGATTACAGCAGTCTATAGCTATATTTCGCAGTAACTAGTTGATTACACTATAGAATTTACAATTCATTAAACATTTACGTTGAATGGATGAGGAATTCTGACGAAGACAACAATCACTGTCAATGTAAATCTTTCTTTTTCTCATGAAAACATTGTAAACTAAATACAGACAATTCGCTGTAATAAAAAACACTTAGACGAATACAAGATTTACAAAGATTCCTGAGATTTATACAATACATCGAACACAAAAAACACATGTTATTAATTGAGAATGTGACACTTATCCTAATGTAAGTAATTATTTTGTACAATAACAATGGTGATTGCAAGAACAAAACTACGTTTCATTGGACACCGAATTTCCAGACATCTTAAAACCTTGTAATTCAATAATCAACATATTAGGCAATTACTGAGCATGTCAACATAATTCCAAAGCATTTAAACAATTATGAATGGTAAAAGGAATAATAATTAAACTGATATGTAGAAATGAGATGCGTAGGACACAGATAAAAAGTTATCTGAATTATTGAAAGAATACTCTGTAGTACAAGGATATGATTGAAAATCAAACATGTTTAAAAATTTATAGATGTTTTATGGAGAATACATACAAAATAGTGATCTAAAATGGTACTACTATAAAGAACACCTAGTTAAACACAAGAAAAATAGAAAAAGAAATCTTCACAAACGTACACTCAAAATAACATATACTAACCTGAAATATTTGTGCCCCTAAAGTGAAATTAGCAAATTCCATCATGATTTCATCATGTATCTTTTCAATGGAATTCTTCCAATCAATATTGAAGCCTTTTACTATTCGTGTTACTCGAGCTATTAAAAAAGCAGAAGTGGGTACGGATAACATAAAAATAACAAAAAATTAAACTTATGAAATATTATTATTAATTATAAAATCAGTAAAGTAGTTTATTTATCGTTTTTTGGTAGTAAAAATACCCTAGACATTATCTTTCTCAGGTTATAGGACCTTTTTATGTAATAATAAGTAAGGAACTCATACATTTGCTTTGATAGGCTTCTGTCATGGATAGTTTATAATGTAAATGTAGGCGAAACTTAATGGTAGAGACTAGGTCAGAAAGCCTATCAGTTAATCTTTACATGAGAAATAAAAAAGGATTTATTAAGATGCACAGGCTGTTTATTGAAACTTGAATAATCATTAATTCACAACTAACGATTTCAGTTATGTTTATTCCAATAATTTTTATTGAATCATTCTCGTAACTAGCTGAGAAGGAAATCAAAACAGAAAAGTGAATAGGAAATGGATGTAAGTTAGAAGATATCTGATCATCAATACTATATTGCTATTTATGACTAGAGTGATCCAGGATTTCAGTTTCTATAAGTAGTTCCATTACATAATTGCTAAAGATATTTAAAACAGACTACAATGATGAACTTTGTCTCTTAGGGCAGATTTAGTAAACAGAGTTTCAAAAAGTCTAGGATATGGAAGGATTTATTCAAGTACATAGAAACTACTATAATTATAAAACACTGTTTTGCACAATGAATGACAGTATATTACCTTCCTCGCTACGAATAGTTTGGGTCGATTCATCTTGGTTTGTTGACAAATGACTTCCACTAGCTGATCTGGCTTCAACATCGCGAACAAAAGATATTAGACACCCAAAGTAAGGTGATAAAGCTTCATCAATATATGATGTCATGTGCTTCGCTACAGCTTCCCGACATCGAACAACCTCAGAAGAATCAGCAGCTCCATGTTCCTACACCAGGAATAGGGAAGAAATTCAAACAAGCAGATGAAATAAACCCATACGGATATAGACTAATAATTTAAAGTTTTATATAGACATATACTACTTACAGTTAGTACACTTATTACCAAATCATAATTGTTGATTAGAAATATGTGTGCTAATTTTGGACGTGAAAATGTTTTGGCTAGCGAATTCAATACGTGTTCAAATTGAGTTTGTAACTGAGCCAAACGACTAAGTATACGAGGATCTAAATCAGGCTTCGAATTGGCCAGATTTTGTTGAGATGTTGTTGATGCAGTGTGTAAAGAGTATTGTGAATTTGAACTCTCTGAATTTTTAGATTTACTCATACTGTCATCAAAAAGTGGAGCTATGAAGTAAAATGAAAAGTAACATTTTTAAAATGGTAAACATATACTTACATACTTCTAAAAATCATAACAAGAACAATCTATACAAGAAAGATGAAAATCAAGTGTAGCACTTGCATACATACATATATGTTCAGCTGTGAGGCTCCATTTTTGTGTGATATAGAGAGAATTAGGTGGAAAAGGAATTGTATACATGGTTAAATGGTTGGAAATTAAGGGTTTTACAAACTGGTTCGCAACATTTGGAAATGTACTTTTAAATATTTAAATGACACAAATTGCTATATGCTGTCATCTATAAATATGGAAGCGCTTAATGCTGAAATCGGATAATTAACTAGTAATGATAGTTGTATGTAATGTTAGAAATTTTGGTACAGTAAAGAATTTTCAGTACTGGATTAGAATTGTAATCATTCAAAACACATTTTGAAAGTGTTTCTAAGACTTAGCACCTTCCATTCTTATTCAGTCACTGAGGTTTTCTAACAGCTCATATGTTACACTTATGATTTCATCCATCATATAGGATAATTATCTCTAATATATTTGCCTCTTATTTTTTCAAATGATAGATTTGAAAAGAAATGTGCTATGAATATGAACTGTAGTGTTTCTGTTTGAATTGCTCAGTATTTAGTAACACACTAATTTATAAACCTCCAATAGTACTGATTTAGTACAAACAGTAAGCATCCTTAATCATTCATTTCAAACAAATCTAAGATACGTAGTTTAATTTTAGTAATTGCACCGTTAAGAAAATAAATAATAATTAGTGAGCCAAAACGTTGGAGTAGACCATTGTATATATTGACAGACAGAGTTTGTTTCATTACAGTGAATATGATTAAAAAAAACTAGACAGTGTCTGTTTCATTTCAATGAATATGATTTGAAAAAACTAGACTGATTGTAAGCTGTTGTTTTCATCATTTTCGAATGTTCAATCAACAAATGATTCATCAGACAATGATCAACATTCCTCAAATCGTATATCAATAACAAGCTTTCAAGTTAGGGTATGTCTAATTTAATGTAACACTGCAACGTATCCTTATACATCTTCAGTAAAGATTCAATTATTGAATAACACCTAATACCTAACAGTACCGATACTAGTTGACATCTTAAATTGTAATGTATGATTTATTATCTTGATATTATGAGCTGAACACAATGAACAAATTTCTATGCTAATAAACTATTGCTTTACAATAAGTCATTTAACTTATCTGTAGATGCATGATTATTACGTGTGTTCGAGAGATAAAATGAGAGATGAGAAATAAGTTGTACAATGACGTGGAAAGGAATAATGTCTGATGTTATAATGTTATTAATGTATATCAAAGTAAGGATTAATTCAACTCCTAACAAACACATGAAACAAAATATCCCCCTAAAAAATAGACGAAACGATAAGTTTAAAGCATAAAAATGTCAAATTCTGAGTGAACTTACTACCAGGAAATTGGTGCCCAATTAAATGCAGACTAGCAGCTAACTCAGCATAACGTCTAGCTATCGAATGAGGACGAATAAGAGCGTACATTTTAGGATGTAAACCGGCAGTACTACTTCCAGTAACATTTGTAGAAGTACTAACATTCGAGTTGGATTTCACCATATCACGAGCATCAGTACCGAAACTGCTGACATCTAAATATTGTAACATGGATGCTATGTGTACATCCAATCTATCTGTAACACGCACCCACAAAGTTTCGGTCATTTTACCCCAAAAACTATTCAATGAACGAAATGACATAAAATTTAATAATTTCAGAAGTATTAAACGCAAATTGAAGCCATAATGGTGAATTTAGATTACAATTATCAGTTTATCAATTTGAAGCAGTATTTGTTGTTGCTTTCGAAGTGATAAGTACAAAACATCTGAGAATCACCCGAAAATTTCGGTACAATGTTCAGTTTATTGTTTAGCATTATAAGTTTGACTGAACAAAGCTTAGGTGTTTTTAGTCCGAAACAGTGAAATTAACCTCAAATAGTGAACGAAAGAGAAATACTTGATTTCCAATCCATAAAAGGGTGCTTTCTCAGGTTCTAAATGTACTGTTAATATATCTTTCTTCAGAGGCTTCTAGTAACTGAGCTAACTAATGATCTCACTGATTGAAATTTCCTTTTAAGTGGAGACTAATTCGGACACATACAATACATAAACACTCCTATCTATAATAAATTTTGATATCAGGTTCCTTACCAAAGGAAAGTAACTTGGCAAAAAACACTTCAACCACTGTTGGATACAACCAATGAGAATGAATGATATTAGAAGGTTAAACATATTCCAGCACGTATATGAAGCATTTTATTGTATGAGTTAAGTTAGATATGAAAGTTTAATCAAATATCTTGGTATCAAAGTTTGCTTTTGTGCATATCTTGTAAAAACTTGTGTCCACTCAGTTCCGCACCAAGAGTGACTAACTTCTATTATTTACTAGGTTTATAATTTTACACTTTTAAAGCAACTGATTTACTCATTTATTTTTGATGATATCTGTAATTCGTATAAAATTAAGAGAATTTTTCCCACACTAAATCGCTTTTCACAATTTGAAAGTAAAATTGAGTATTGAATTGTTCATCTTGCACGACTTCCAATTTGCTTAAATTCTCACAAACTCAATAACTGAAGAAATCGACATAGTTACAGTACTGTGTATCTGAAGACCAGGTCTTAATTTACTTCGAGCAAGATTGAATGGAACAATAAATAAAACAAAGAGTGATTCAGTAACTAAATGACTGTTGATTTGTGTTATGTAGTGGGTTTTTAAGTCCCTAGTTATAGTACTTCAGATGTAATAAATGACTGGTTAAAAACTCCACATGATATGTCGTTACACCGATCGTAGTTTTGAAAGTGTATCGTATTCTCATTTAAATCTAAAAGAATACTGTCATACCAACAATAAAGTACAGGAGAACCAAAATGACAACATGTAACAACGCTTTCTAAATAGTGATTTAGAACTGGAAATGAAATAAATGCATAATCTTTAAAACTTACTTATCTAGTACAGGTACATCTCTCTCTTTAGCCAGACGAAGCAAAGCATGTAACAGTTGAAGACAAATTAATAAACCAATCGCATCATGAGAACAAGAAGAAATCATGAAAGTTTCAGTAAATTTATTTATCCAATTTAAACTACGACTCATAACTTGCTCGAATAAATGAGTTAACGCTACACCGCTCTGTGTACGACCTTGATTAGTTGCACTTTGATCAGAAGATGGTGCTGAACCAATGGATTCCGCTTCTGCACTAAGAAGGAAGAAGTCCGACAGAAAATAATATTCCCGACATACAGTATCCAGAAGCGCATAGTGAATCGAGCGAAATAAAACTTCAATCGGGTACTATAAATTGAAAGAGGTTTCGAAAAATAAAACAAAAGCAAATATTGAATAAGTTGATCATCAAACTCTACACAACAGGACAATTTGATGTATCTGTTGTGAGTAGATATTTAGAATCAAATGGCATTGTCTTAATCTTTATGAAAGCTGTACCAGGTTCAAAACAAAAATAAGTTAATTATCACGTTTGAATAACTTGTCGCGAATTTCAGCAACTCTTCTGAAAAATCCGTAGGAATAGACTTGGAGTTGGAAATAAAGTTTTATTCATTAAACACTACCAGTTTAGGAATAAAATATTGAGAACCTATGCCAATCGTCTACAAAATATATATAAAACTTCAGACCACACATTGTGTGAGAGCCTTAATTTCCTAGTTGTTGAAATACAACTTAGAACAGGTAAGGATAAGGTCTCGATTTCAAGGCCCTGAGTGATAATACTGTTATACAGGAGGGCAGTTGTACTGATTTTGTTTAAGTATTGATTAGCTAACCCAGACTGTCTGTTTAGTAGAGATGACCTGAGGCTAATCAATGACACGATGATAATGAAATAACAGCCAAGAGTAACACTTAATAACTATTGGACCAAAAGCAGTTTTCCACACTTGCTCGCCCAATAATAGCCAGAACAGAAAACAATACATCAGTAAGTAACCTTGTGATTATTCAGCTTTATGAATCTTTCGTACAATAATAAAGAGTAAAAACACAACTATACATCAATGTAACTATGAAATTACAATGTGGGCATTACTATGTCATCAGTGGAAGAATATTGAGAGATAGGTCCATAATAAGTCAAGAGTAACCTGGGAAACATAAGACACGCAACAATAGTTTATGCGTCAAACAAAAACTTACAAGTAGGGGGTTAAAAAAATACAATAGTTTAAGTATTTAATAATTGTACAACAAAATACAAACAATAACTTTAGATGGTACCGTTTCAAAAGTTTAACATTGTTTGGCATTTATCCCAATAGAGCAGAAACAACAAAACACAAACTCATAACCAATGTGACTGTCAATTTACTTAAACCAACATTTGAGTATTACGTTTCGAGGAATTAATGTGGAAGTGTATTCACAGAATCAAAATCAAGGAAACAAAAAACAATGCTGATTTGCTTACTTTAGCGTCAACGTTACTGGCCACATGTGGTAAAATAATGGCACTTTCTAGATTTGATTTACTGAGTACACGAAGTGCACGATCACTTAGTCCGAAAAGTCCAACGCGTGTTCCGGAATTAGAAGACACTGATACAGCTGAATTATTAGCAACATTTGTGATTGAATTGAACATCAGACTGGATGCAGATGATGCAGAATTGTATTTTTCAGGATTTTTCCCTAATAAATCATCTTTTTCATTAGTTGTATCAAGCTACATTAAAGATAGAAATGAGAATATAACTGTAATATTTTCAGGTAAAATTACAAATCATGACAAATATAATTGCACAGAATTTAGAGTGATAGGCTTCGTAGTCTTAATAAGTAAGTAAAGGATCGTACGTCAAAACCTAACTACAACTATTTCAGTTCTGGCATCTAGGTAGTGTCTCTAATCCTCACATTTCCACTTAGTCTACCTACTTGAGCTTTGAAGTCACCAGCCATTATTACTATATCGGAGCGCTTAGCATTTTGGAGGAGGTCCGAAGGCCTTCTATAAAACTCATCTTTTACATTGTCTGGACAGCAATCAGTGGGGGCGTAGGCAGATAGGACGAAGAGGCAACGGCGAGTGTCCCTGTCTTTCTGAGTCCTTACTGTCCGGTTCAGTCGGACAGCGCGCAAGCGACTATCTACTGGGATCCAGTCTAGGAGATATTGTTCAGCTCTACGACTCAATGCTATGCCTACGCCAGCTAGCTAGCTAGATACAACGTAGAACTTGGTACGTAAGTACATCAGTTCATGTTGCCATACCACATCAGCACAGAGATATAATTGTCCATTCAAATCCAATAGTAGTAGAGGTAGTAAGGGAATTAGAAGTAATCGGAGAGGTCAGGATGAGATATTATTCAAGAAGTGTGATTAAATGAGAAAAGTTTAGAAAGTCAAAACTAGAGGTGTTGAAGAATCCAGAAGAATAGGATTTGAGAGAACACAAAGAATAAATGCACTGGCGCCATTGCGAACGATTTTGAGCCATGTGATTCAAGGTCTCTAACCATCGATTATTATCATCTCGCGGACCCCAACCAGGTAGTCGACAATTACCGACATGGCTCAGTCCACTAGTCAATGACTTCATGGATTTCTGCCATGTTTTGGTCTGGCCGCCCCTAACTTTCTTCCAATCTACTCCTACACTACAAAACAAGGCTCGTCAAGGCAGTCGGTGGTTCGGCATACGCAAGACATGTCCCAACCACCTCAACTGATGAAGTTTCACCACTTCATCGATTGATCTGCCATCCTTACCTAGTACTCGTTTCCTAACGACAGCATTGCTTACTCGGTTGTCCCACGGTATACGAGCAATGCTTCGAAGACACTTATGATCGAAAACCAGTAACCTACGAATATCTTCTACTCTCACTGGCCATGTTTCACAGCCATATAGGAGAACGGAGCGAACTGCTGCACAGTACACTCGTCCTTTGATTAGAGAACGGATATCACGCCTACGCCATAAGTGACGCAGGTTGGCAAAAGCCAATCGAGCCTTCTGTATCCGTGCTGAGATTTCGTCAGTCACCAGGCCATCGGCACTGATGAGACTCCCAAGATAAGTGAAGCGGTCTACACGCTCGACTACTTCACTCCCTATCACTAGTTCAGGTGCCGATGCAAAACCGCATCCCGAACATGCTTGCATTATTGCTTAGGGTAGTCAGAAGACTCTGCATTTTGTCAGCGTCTTCACCAAGTAGGACTATGTCATCGGCATATTCTAAGTCAATAAGCGAGCCACCTGGTAGAAGGTCTACTCCAGAAAATTCAGACGAGGATAAGGTTATTTCTAAATGCATGTCTATGATAAAATTAAACAAGAATGGAGAAAGTGGACATCCCTGACGGACACCACTTGATGTAGAGGATTCCGGTGACAGTTCGCCATAAGCTCTCACTCGACCAGTGGTGTTCGAGTAAAGGGCTTGTATAAGGTTAATGTACTTCTTTGGTACACCTTTCAATGACAGACACTGCCACAGAACTTCACGATCCAGTGAGTCAAATGCCGCCTTAAGGTCCAGGAAAACAACTATTGTAGGACGCCTAAATATGTGTCTATGTTCCAGGACCTGTCGTAGTGTGAACATGTGGTCTATACAACCACGTCCAGGTCTGAAACCAGATTGGTTTTCTCTAATCTGCTCTTCACGAGCGTCGAAGTATTACTCAGGCCAAAATTTTAGATACTATATTAGTTAGACTTATTCCTCTGTGATTGTCACAAGAAGACTTTTGTCCTTTCTTATAGATTGAGACAATCAAGGATTGAGACCATTCAGATGGGATTACGTCCAGTTCCCAGATGCTACCTAAGATCTCAGTCTACCTAGTTGCTAAAACTGGACTGCCATCCTTAAATATCTCAGGGGTCAGTCTATCAGGACCTGCAGCTCGTCCTCGTTTCAGATTTCCTAACGCTTTCTCAACGTCATTAAGACTAGGGGGACTTACGTCGATTTGCCATTCAGGATGACTGGAGATCGTGGGTAATCGAAGAGTGGCTCGTGGCCAGTTGAACTGATCCCTAAAGTGTTCTGCCCATCGATCCAGTCTCCTGGATTGAGAATGAATAATGAGACCATCCTTTTCCGAGATAGTCTCACTCACATTCGGGTTCTTAATACCAGTTTCTTTAATAAGGCGGAAAAGTTTTCTAGTGTTGCCTATCGCCGCTGCCTTTTCCATTGCTTTTGCTTTCGCCACCCACCACTGTTCGCGGTCGTTACGCAGACTTTTTATAAGTCTGCGCCTAAGCTGACTACGCTCTTCATCATGCTCAGAGTCAGGTGGGATGCGTTTTCGAGCATCCATCAGTTCGGTGGATGCGACTGATATCCACGGCTTCATCCTAGCCTACGCCAGCAAGACCCCGGGAAGCAGCATCAGGGCTACCGGATACACGAAGAGTATATCGAGCTGCTTCTATATTTTGACAAGGTGAAATCAGATTAATGATTTTACTAGGGTCCTGTATGTGCGTATCCGAGACGCAGCATACATCGATGGTGCGAGATTCTAATGTCCTATTTGACACAATGTCCGGACATTAAAAGCTCCAACATGTAGTCTAGAACGGAGTTTCCGGAGACCAGGAATAACGTTTCAGTATGTTCCGATATTTATTGATAAACTCTGATACCGACCCAACATAGTACTTCAAATCATATAAATATTGAGCAGTCTTCGCAGAATTTGTCTACACTAATCGTGATATACTGTTTCTCCTTTCAAAGGATTAAAAAAGATGTAAAATACTATAAGAACATTCTGAAAAATATTAGATTACTACCTTTGAACATTATTACACTAGTGTTCATTGTAATCAAAGCAAAGGGATCATTGAATCAAACCTAAAGCTTAAGTCACAAAGTTTTAAATAACAAATTTTTCCATGAAAAATAACCAACCAGAAATGAATTACAAGTGTATAAAGTTAAGTTTTAAAAGAACTGGATGACTAACTTGTAATTTGGTTAATTTACCACCATAAGCTTTAAAATAGGCATAGTAAACTTTGCTCATTGTATTGATATACTCTACCCTAATTTCTTTAGCAATCTCTCGATCATGAACTAAGAGGAATGAATTGTAAAATCTGAACATAGAAAAAAAACCAATAGACATGTTAAGATATAACTTGAAAAATATAAGTTACATGCAGCAATTATTGATGAAAATCAAAATTTTCACACTTCTTTAGAAACGAGTTTGTTAAATTACTATCACCCTCAAAGTCTGAGCTTCTTCAACTAGTATACTTTAACTCAAGTCAATCAAATTGAGAATTTGAGAACCTAGACGTAGCATTTATGTGCAAGCCTCCCGATTAAATTAGAAACGGAAAAAACATGCACTGGTCTTAAAGTCATCGTTCATCAAACATTTCGTCCTAAAAGTAATTTAGAACAGTAACGAATAATTTTCAACAAATCCGAGCAGCACTCACTATGGTAGAACAACCAACACTTCGTAAATAAACTTTCGTTCCAAAACAGTGATTCTAGCTGCCAAATTTGACTACTGGAAAGGTAATTCAACCAGTCATTCAGTGAATTACAACGAAGAACTTCGTACGTAAGTACATCCCTTCAAGCCGCCATAATATGATTGCACAGAGACGCAATAGTCAATTTAAACCCCATAGTAGTGGGGGTCAGTTGGTACGTCTGAGGTACAGGTAGTAGAAGTATGAGAAGTAATCTGAAAAATCACGGTCTTTAGACAATATTCAAGAAATATAAAGCAAGGAAAAGATTTGAGACGAGAAAGATGAAAGTCAGAATTAAGAAGAACACAAAAAATGGATGATTCAGAGCCATTGCAAACGATTTTGAGCAATGTCGTCCCAAGGTCTCTAACCATCGGTTACTATCGTCTCTAGCACCCTGATCGGTAGTCTACACCTACCACCTGTCCGTGACTTTATGGATTTGTGCCATGTTTTGGTTTGGTTGCCCCTAGCTTTCTTCCAACCTACTCCTAAACCACAAAGCATAGCTGGTTGGGGCAGTTGGTGATTGGGTGTACGCAACACATGTCCCAACCACCTCAACTGATGAAGTTTCACTACTTCATCTATTCATTTGCCATCCTAACCTAGCACTCGTTTCCTAACAACATCATTGCTTACTCGATAGTCCCAAGATAGACGAGCGATGCTTCGAAGACACTTATGATCGAAAACCAATAACCTGCGAATATCTTCTACTCTCACTGGCCATGTGTTTCACAGCCATAAAGTAGGACGAAGCGAACTGCTGCACAGTAGACTCGTTCTGTGGTTGGTACAAGGTTATCTCGGCTACACCATAAATGACGCAAAAGGTGGTCAAGCCTACTGTAACCGTACCGAAATGTCGTCACACCTGGCCATCAGCACTGATGAGACTCCCCAGATAAGTGAAGCGGTCAACACGCTCGACTACTTCACTCCCTATCACTAGTTCACGTGCTAACACAAGCCAATCTTGAAGCAACGTTTTGCATTTCGAGGGGGAGAATCGCATCCCGAACATGCCTGCATTGTTGCTTAGGGTAGTCAGAAGACTGCGTTTTGTCAGCGCCTTCTCTAAACAGAACTATGTCATTGACATATTCAAAGTCAACAAATGCATCTCCCAGTAAAAGATCAACTCCGGAAAATTCAGACAAACATAGTTTTATCTATAAAGGCATGTCTACGAAAAAGTTAAACAGGAATGGAGAAAGTGGACAGCCCTGACGGACACCACTTGAAGCAATTAGTTTCGATGACAGTATAAGGTTCATGTACTTCGTTGGTTCTCCTTTCAATGACAGACACTGCCACAGAACCTCACGATCAGCAGAGTAGAATGCCGCTTGAAGGTCGTGAAATAATACTAATGTGGGGCGTCTTTGTTTCATGACCTGTCGTAGTGTGAATATCAGGTTTATACATCCACGTCCAGGTCGAAAAACGGCCTGCTTTTCTCGAGTCTGCTCTTCACGAGTTCTGGTTAACTTTTAAAACTGGGACACCATCCTCAAAAATCTCAAGGGTAAGTCTGTCACGCCCTGTTGCTCGCCCTCTCTTCAGATTTCCTATAACATTTTCAACTTCATAAAGACTCATAGGACTGACATCGATTTGCCATTCAGGATGACTGGAGATCGTCGGCAACCGAAGTGTGACTGAAGGCCAGTTGAACTGATCCCTAAAGTGTTCTGCCCATAGATCCAATCTGGGTTGAGAATGCATGATGCAGCCATCCTTTACTGAGATTGTCTCGCCGACAGATAGATTTCTAACACCGGTTTTCGTGATAAGGCGGAACAACTGTCTGATGTTGCCTATCGCCGCTGCCTTTTCCATCGCTCTTGCTTTCGCTACCCGCCAATGTTCGCGATCATTGCGTAGGCTTTTTATCAGCCTGAGCTTAAGCTGACTTAGCTCTTTCATGTTCAGAGCCAGGTGTGATAAGGTTTTGAGCGTCTGTTAGTTCGGTAGGTGCTACTGAAATCCACTGTTTCTCTCTGATCTTCTGGTTTGTCGTGCAGGCAGATACTACTGCTGTTTCCACAACATTTTGGATACCACTGCAAGCCTCGAGGTGGGTATCAATTACACGGCTGTTTAACTGTTTTTCTAGTTGTTCCTGAAGTATATTCATACCTCTTACTTAGAACCCTAGGAATTTACCTTGCGGTGTCTTTCTTTGGTCCAGTAAGATACAGACAGATACCCGCTCGCACTAGACAATGATCTAAATCAAAATATGTGCTCCAGAAAGAACGACAGTCTTCCATCGAGCCTCTCCATCGGTAGCTGATAGCGATGTGATCTAGTTGGGTCGAACGGTCGCCATGTCAAAAGATGATTTTCCTTATGTTTAAAGTTAGTATGTGTTAGAAATATGAGGTTATCTGAGCATGGTAGCAGCAGACGGTGGCCATAATCTGTCCTGTGAGTCGCGACATCATAAGGTTCACGCCGGTGAATTTCCTTTTAGCTTAGTCTATGTACTTGAGTATTAAAGTTACTACCCAACATTATTACCTCAGAGCACTTACCCGTTTGGAGGGGGTTGGAAAGCTTACTGTAGGCAGAAGCAACAGCAAGTGTCTCTATCTTACCGAGTCCTTACTGCCCCGTTTAGTCGGACAGCAAACAAGCAACAGTCTACTGGGATGCAGTCTAAGAGAGCTAGTTCTGCCATACGACTCAATGCTATACCAGTGAGGCCACGAGAAGCAAAGTCGTGCTTCCAGATACACGAAGAGAAAATGAAGTTGGTTCTTTATTTTACTATGGTGATGTCAAGTAAATGACGCTACTCGGATCCTGTATACCCGTTTCGCAGATGCAGCAAACGTCGATGGCGTGAGGTTCAAAAGTCCTAGCTAATGAGGCGTTGTGGCCCATTCGATACAGTGTCCGGGCATTAAAAGCTTCAACATGCACTTTAGAATGGGGTTTCAGCAGACTAGGATTGACGTTTCGTGAACTCGAATCGTTTACATTAGCGGTACGGGGTGATAAAGAAATGTGAGGAGAGTTAGTCTTGGAGATAAGAGAGATATGAGGAGGTGTAGGAAGGATTTGATTGTGACCTATTTGGTCTCGTGTGCTGTTATATGTATGAGGGCGGATGTCACTTCTCGGCTGCCCACACTGTGGAAGTGTTTCTTGGGGAACCGGAAAAGGAAGGTAGATTAGTGTTGGTCTCAACGACCTGGGAGCGTAGCCACGCACGGCTTTTTCTACGAGAGGTTTTTAGAGTATTAGCTCCGCTCTTGTTTAAAAGGAGACGGGAGTCCGTGGGGTAGGGTGAGGTATGACATTTTTAGGGTCGACCTTTTCTAACCCTTCCTTCCTTATGGGAATGCAGCATCGCTGTAGATGCTGGTTGTCCGAGGGAAACACCTTACCGCTGTCACAACCCTCTGCAGTCACCAGTACGACTTCGCCCTCAGCCAACATAGCTCGGTTGGGTTATCACGATTTGCAAGCCCGACTAACACGTCAAGGTAGCAGCTACGGTCGGGCTGGTTTTAATATGTACATTTTAATAACACGTGTATACTAAAAATGTAACATCTTATCAGAGTCGTAAGCATTCCATCATGATATTAGGTTTCATAAAAAAAATGTATTTACCCAACTATAAAAGCATTAATAGTAGTACAGACATCCTGATACTTTAAACGGGTATTTAGAAAAGCAGAAGTAAACACGCTATTGAATGGCACTAGATGAGTCCATAGAAAGCCCTTTCTTTTTCAAACGACCAATGCACTGGCCGATTCAACAGTCAAAATTTGATGCATACTAGATGTAGATAACCTAATACTAACAACTAAAAATTTACAACACCTGAAATACTTACCGAAATTTCAACATTTGATTTTGAGGAATTTGGTAATTTGTAAGTGGCTTACGTAAGGAGTATATTTTGCTCAACAGAAATTCCCGAATTTTCGTAACAGCCTAAATTTAGATTTAAACAAAACAATATAATAACCGACGATAAAGTTAATTAAATTGGAAAATATACAAATGATTATTAAACATGAAGATAAAGAGGTAGTTATTGGAGACTGTGTAAACAGGGTCTAAGTTAAAAGTGTCAGACTATCACTAAATCTCACAATGAGCCAAAACGAAAGTATATTTAACGAAAAACTCCAATATTACGGGGAATCAGCAGTAACCTTGGAAATGCGGAAAGACAACAAATAGGTAAATATCTCATAACGACTTTAACTACTGATACTGTAAATAAGTAGGCATATTTAAATTTGCCTCAATTATAAAGAAAGTCAAGACAAAATAGACTTCTGTAACAAATGTGTAACGGAGTTAAAATCACTATGTATGATGTTGCTAACCCGTTCTGATCTCTTTCTATTGCAGGGTGACCAAACATAAACGCTTTGGAAGCTGAAGAACAAGCCCTGCGTGCTCTGAACTTACAGGATGACTCATAAAACTGGTAAACAAGCAATCCCTTTTCTAAAAAAAAACCCACGTTATTTAATTTTTAAATAAAGTGCCGTGGCTACCACTTTGTGTTCTCTCTTGGTGTGAAGTGCTCAGCCAACCTTGTGTGTTGTGATTTTAGATCTTATCCGCCCTCAGTAACTGCTGATTACACGTGTTACAAATGTAGTAGCGTTTCACTTGATTAGTACGATGTAATTAAGAAAATCAGAACTTTTATGTTGAATAGATAGCGTTTAAATTGATTAGCTGGATAAACTGATACAAACTGAGGAAAATTCGAAATTGCTGTTTTATAATTAAAGGATGAATAACTTGGATCTACATATATTATTAACTAAATTGAGGAGACTAGATCATCTATACAACATCGAAAGATAAATCATATACTTTTAAAAAGATATGCTCACCTTAATTTTTAACTTCTTCAGAAGTACACTAACATCATTAAATGATTTGTAATCCACCATAGATTGTTCTAATGAGAAATTCATTTTATGGTTTAATTCATGAAGGTTTTCAAGGAACTCTTGTTCAGTAACAGGAGTATACATAATGTGTCTAAAAGAATTGGTATTCAAAAGAAGCCCGTGAACTGTCTGTCGTTCCAGATAAAACAGCATTAAAAACAATAGATTCGAAATAAATAACATAGGAAAGTAAATTAAAAATTACTAAGATATCAAAACTTTGAAACTGTGAGATTGGTAGTCAATTAGCAAAAAGTTGACTCAATGAAAGTTTTCAAAATACTAAGCTAATGTTGAAACAAGAGACAACAAAAAATTATAGACTAACTCCAGTAAAAGTGTTGATACAAATGTATTGTTTCAGCTAATGATCAAGTTCAGTATTCGGCATTTCAATGGCGGTACAACACTGTGTTATAATTACAACCCAGCTATTCCTAATGCTTAATATTCTCGGACACCAAGTCACTGGAGACGTTCTCCTACATCAGTACACTGTTGAACAGGAAGTAGATCATATTCCAATAACAAGGTTAGGTGGAAGACAGAAGGTCCAAAGGAAAAAGACGTTAGTACATTTACAGCTTTCTTACATGAGAAGATTCTAGAATGTTCCCTCAGTATCGACTACCGCTGATTGGATACGGAAGAACCAATCAGTGTGCAGTGTGTGCGGTATGGAATACAAGGAAGACTTGATAGTCTTACTGGTGTAACTACTACAGCTGGCGAATTAATGGTTATATAACGTATTCTTTTAGTTCGACAACGTGAACTGTGAAAGCATTTGAAGGTACTTAGGATGTAAGAATATTGTTGATTAGACCACTTTCCTCTAGCTTGCAAGTCAATATATGAGTGTATGATCTTATTCATTTCGTTCATTACAAATCGGTACCACTAGACTCATACAACTAAAACTGAGGAGTGATCTACTGAGAGTAGCTACTCACTAAAACATTTTTGTTTGAAGTTTCCACCATTAATTAAATAATTTACTAATTGGAACGGAAATCTATAGTTTTCAAAACAGGATACACACATTTTACCATAGAACGTTAAGAACAAGAAAAATAAATTTTTGATATAACTCGATAATAAAACCGACTAACTCCGAAAAATTGTCGAGTCAATATAATGGACAAAACTTTAAGGTACCTTTGGAAACTCCAAATGCCTTGAAATAGTCGTGATTGAAGAGAGTTCGATCTACCGCTTAAAATATTCCCATATGACGACGCGTACATAACCAGGGAGTCTTCTTCACGTAATCGAGAGCACAAAAGCCTTAACCGGGTAAGTGGGCACAGAGGATCCACCTAGAGGAGTTGGAAAACCTTGATTCCAAAAAAACGGTGTACATGGATTTCAGGATCCTGAGGAGATAAATGGCTTATGAAACTATTGCTGGTCAACGGATACTATATGACCGCATCCCCTAACATCGATTCACTGACTTGTGGGTTAGACCAATGTATCAAAGGCTCGGGAAAGTGAGCTACTAAGGTAACAAACTGATTCGGATCAGGAACCCAGGTGTTGTCCCAGCCCACACATGGATTCAGTGATGTGTGGCGCATATAGATTTCAGTGTGCCCCTTTATACTAATGTTTATGTGTTTAAATGAGCAAATAAAACTTTAGAGGTGAAGTTAAGATACTTACTGTATAAGCTCTTCAGGGATGGCCATGTCAGAAAGAAATTGGCTTAAATTACTGCGAACAGCCTACAGAGAAATAAATCAGCGCGCAAAAAACAGCTGAAGTTTGTTGGAAAATTAGAATAATATGACAGGAAAGAAATCACAAGTATTTAAGCTTTGAAAATATCATTTACTTCAGTACCCCTACTTCATAAGTGTTTGGATGAACATGATACCGTAAGTAAAGGGAATGAACGGTATTGTATCACTCTTTTGACATTGAAAACTAGCCTCTTTAAACATGACCACTGTAGAACTGAATCTATTACAAACAAATATAGTTAATGAAACAAAACCGTCAAATGTTCAAAGGGTGAAAAGTACTTAATAGCGCATTGCAGGCTATGCATTTGAAACGACTTATACAGTTCGACAGAGCAACCAGCTAACTGATGGCATATTTATACATTTAACTCAGTATGAGATTTTTACAAGAGGGTTTTACCGAGGACGCAGATCAAACAAGTCTGTAGTAATTTCGCATTTGATTAGGTCACTCTTTCTAATACTGATTTTCATATAGATTGACTAGAATTTGTAATGCAGGGCTTAATGCCTTTCGTAAGAGTCAGATGTTGTAAACAATGATTTTAATATACGGTTAGCATATATAACAGTTTCTTTTGTGACATCAACCTACTATGCAATAAACCTATTTAGCAGCTAGATACCAGATAAGAAGACAAGTATGATTTAGTAGAAACAAGGTAAATAACTACTCATAAGCGAAGTTACCAACCGTAGCTGCTACCATGACATGCTGGTCGAGCTTACCAATCGTGATAACCCAACCGAGCTACGTTGGCTGCAACATATGATCCTGAAGGTTCTACCATGCCAGGTAGGTCGACTGGAGAACGATGAGACTAAAAGCAGCTAATCAAGGTCTGAGGGCGAAGTCGTACTGGTGACTGCAGAGGGGTGTGACAGCGGTAAGGTGTTTCCCTCGGACAACCAGCATCTACAGCGATGCTGCATTCCCATAAGGAAGGAAGGGTTAGAAAAGGTCGACCCTAAAAATGTCATACCTCACCCTACCCCACGGACTCCCGTCTCCTTTTAAACAAGAGCGGAGCTAATACTCTAAAAACCTCTCGTAGAAAAAGCCGTGCGTGGCTACGCTCCCAGGTCGTTGAGACCAACACTAATCTACCTTCCTTTTCCGGTTCCCCAAGAAACACTTCCACAGTGTGGGCAGCCGAGAAGTGACATCCGCCCTCATACATATAACAGCACACGAGACCAAATAGGTCACAATCAAATCCTTCCTACACCTCCTAACAGCTCTCTTATCTTCACGACTAACTCTTCTCACATTCCTTTATCACCCCGTACCGCTAATGTAAACGATTCGAGTTCACGAAACGTCAATCCTAGTCTGCTGAAACCCCATTCTAAAGTGCATGTTGAAGCTTTTAATGCCCGGACACTGTATCGAATGGGCCACAACGCCTCATTAGCTAGGACTTTTGAACCTCACGCCATCGACGTTTGCTGCATCTGCTAAACGGGTATACAGGATCCGAGTAGCGTCATTTACTTGACATCACCATAGTAAAATAAAGAACCAACTGCATTTTCTCTTCGTGTATCTGGAAGCACGACGTTTGCTGCATCTGCGAAACGGGTATACAGGATCCTAGTAAAATCATATATTTGATTTTACCTTGTGAAAATAAAAAAGCAGCTCGATTTATTCTTCGTGTATCCTGTAGCCCTGTTGCTGCTTCCCGGGGTTTCTCCGGTGTAGGTGTATAGCATTAGGTCCTAGAACAGAACTACCGCTCCTAGACTGTATCCCAGTTGACAGTCACTTATGCGCTGTCCGACTAAACAGGGCTCGGGAAGACAGAGACACTAGCTTTGCCTCTTCGTCCGGATGGATTGACACCCGAGATCTTTAAGGATGGTGGTCTAGTTTTAAAAGTTAGTTTGATTGAGATCTTAGATATAATCTGGGAACTGGGCGTAATCCCGACCGACTGGTCTCAATTGCTGATTGTTCCGATTTACGAGAAAGGACAAAAGTCCTCTTGTGACAATCACATAGGAATCAGTTTAACTAATATAGTATCTAAATTGTTAGCCTTGATTATTCTTACACATCTAACCAGAACTCGTGAAGAGCAGACTCGAGAAAAGCAGGCCGTTTTTCGACCTGGACGTGGATGTAAAAACCTGATATTCACACTACGACAGGTCATGAAACAAAGACGCCCCACATTAGTATTATTTCACGACCTTCAAGCGGCATTCTACTCTGCTGATCGTGAGGTTCTGTGGCAGTGTCTGTCATTGAAAGGAGAACCAACGAAGTACATGAACCTTATACTGTCATCGAAACTAATTGCTTCAAGTGGTGTCCATCAGGGCTGTCCACTTTCTCCATTCCTGTTTAACTTTTTCGTAGACATGCCTTTATAGATAAAACTATGTTTGTCTGAATTTTCCGGAGTTGATCTTTTACTGGGAGATGCATTTGTTGACTTTGAATATGTCAATGACATAGTTCTGTTTAGAGAAGGCGCTGACAAAACGCAGTCTTCTGACTACCCTAAGCAACAATGCAGGCATGTTCGGGATGCGATTCTCCTCCTTGAAATGCAAAACGTTGCTTCAAGATTGGCTTGTGTTAGCACGTGAACTAGTGATAGGGAGTGAAGTAGTCGAGCGTGTTGACCGCTTCACTTATCTCGGGAGTCTCATCAGTGCTGATGGCCAGGTGTGACGACATTTCGGTACGGTTACAGTAGGCTTGACCACCTTTTGCGTAATTTATGGTGTAGCCGAGATAACCTTGTACCAACCACAGAACGAGTCTACTGTGCAGCAGTTCGCTTCGTCCTACTTTATGGCTGTGAAACACATGGCCAGTGAGAGTAGAAGATATTCGCAGGTTATTGGTTTTCGATCATAAGTGTCTTCGAAGCATCGCCCGTCTATCTTGGGACTATCGAGTAAGCAATGATGTTGTTAGGAAACGAGTGCTAGGTTAGGATGGCAAATGAATAGATGAAGCATTGAAACTTCACCAGTTAAGGTGGTTGGGACATGTGTTGCGTATACCCAATCACCAACTGCCCCAACCAGCTATGCTTTGTGGTTTAGGAGTAGGTTGGAAGAAATCTAGGGGCAACCAAACCAAAACATGGCACAAATCCATAAAGTCACGGACAGGTGGTAGGTGTAGACTACCGATCGGGGTGCTAGAGACGATAGTAACCGATGGTTAGAGACCTTGGGACGACATTTCTCAAAATCGTTTGCAATGGCTCTGAATCATCCATTTTTTGTGTTCTATGAAATTTTAATCTTCACAATGTTTTATCACGTCTATCTTCCTCTTTCTAAAGTTATCTCACCCAATCATCCTTCTCAAATTATATCTTCGAACCCTAATCTTCTCCATTTCTGCTAATACTGCTACTTCCAGCACTATGGAATTTGAACTGAAAGTTTCTTCTCTGTTTTAATGCAGTATAGGAACCGGAACTGATGTACGCACGTACGAAGTTGTGTGTTGTAACTAAGTTACTGAAGTGAAGTTAGGTGCAGACCTACATTACAATCCTATATTTATTCCATTATAAGAGAGACAGATATTGATACCCAAGTATAATATGTCAAACACTGGGGACATTTGAATGTTTACTATTTTTCTGATCAAGAAAAACAATGTATGTATTAATTTTCTCTATCAAACACTAACTGCGAAATATACAGCAAAGTAGATATAATAACAAGTTGGGTAACTTGGAACTTCAATCATTATTATATAACAACCTACCTGCCTGTTTTGCAACCGAGTGTTCATTTGTAGAGATTTGCTTTGCAAATCTTGGATTTCTGTGCTAATAGCACCTAAATCTTCATGAAAATTGGTTAATATATTTTCTATCCGCTTCATTACAAAAAGATATTTTTGAAATAAATAACAAACCTCCAGGATAGCATCACATGAGATAATTTGGTTATGTAAATTAGCCACTTCAGGACTGACATTTATATCTAAATTTATCTAGTAAATGAATAAAACTCACATGTTTTTATAAGTGAATCTTCTATTTTTGCCAATTCTGACTCAACTTGAGCAGCATAATCACGCACATCAATCCCCTACATTTTTGAGTAAGTAAACAAAGTAGCATACCGATTTTAGAGCTATTTCTTCTATTTCTGTTTTCAGTGACTCTGAAATAACTATGATTGTATAACAAACGAACAATAATCTCACCATCAACGTCCATTTTCTATACCAGGACTTAAATTTAGCAGATAGTGTAAAAATTAACCCGTTCTTAATTAAACATTATAACTGTCACCAAACTGCTTAAACTCTAGAAGTAAATGTAAGATAAAAGTAAACTCTGCTAATGGGAAAATATGTATGACACAATGTAAGAAATGTAGGTAGTTCGAATGCTCAAAAACTAATATAACGCCTTATAACCTGAAGAATTATAAGAAACCGGTACCGGTTTAGTTTGCCTTCGAGGCTGAAGTAACTAAAGTTCAGTGAGCGATTACTAGTTGATAAATTTACTTCCGTGACTTCATGTCGATATAAAACCAGATGCTTCTGAACTAACCAGTCGTTTGCAACACCGAAAAACGCCGGTGAACCCCGTTACATCCTGATAATAAAAGCGAGCTAAGGGAAAAATGACGACAAATACTAAAGGATTTATTACCGAAAAAAATTAAAACTGATCACGCTGACTACTTCATGTGATTGAGAAGTATCAGACACCTGAGCTGCTTGATTTCAAAGAGCCATTCATGGAGGAAAGTGGAAGCTTGTAAAGCAGTAATAAATTCAAGTTCCACGTAGTATTTGAATGTGTACTAGTAGCCGACGAAAGAACACGAAAGGATGTCCTGATTTGTTAAGTAAACATTAAGGTTAGTTCTAGAAGTATACTGCATTTGGTAGCCCATACGCTTTTCCACTTACTGAGTTTGTTGATAGTTATTTTGGGTTGCTATCTCCAATGTTATTATGATTATTACAGTATAACTCCACGACTAAACTCCCAATCACATTCCGACTGACAACTCAGTGGCCAACGACTAAATCCCCGTGAAACACCTGAGAGGATTGAATCATTCAAAATATACATCAAGAAATTAAGAAATAAAACTTGTGCTGAAATATATGATTCATAAAACCCGCAGAAAATATTACCCCTCTCTTCAGCGTTTCAGATGTATATGTACTCTGGGTGTCAAACTTATGGCGTCCGTCCATGTATTAATAGCTCCATTTTTACATATATTGGGAAATGACCTTATATTTATTGTTAGGTCAATACAATCAGAAACAGGGAAAACAAAGTATATCCGACAGACATTATAGAAAATTAGTATGAACATGAGCAAAATTGCGCTAGACTGGTGTACTGTTCCTGAAACTGTGATAAGTAGTGACACTTTTTACCTACACTTCCTCACTAAATGAAATGTTTCAAGATCGACGACTTGTATATTGCTTCAATTACAGAGAAACATTTTTTCCCCAAATTACACTAACTAGTCTATTTCTCGTACTAATTACCTTAACGCACGCGTTACGTAAACATTTAAACTTGTCAGATGATTCAGCGGGACATAGAATTACTCTGTCAATACAAATTTTAGAATGTTCTGATGATAAAATTTGGCGTCAGATTTACGATAAATTAGTAGGTGACCTTATAAGTGTAATTAACTGAATAGTCAAAAAACTCAACACGCGTAAGTAGCGCAATACTCGATTACGTGCAAAATGCTAGATTGTCTTTTACATTTTTACCAACCACCAATTTACATAGTTCTTCAGTCTACTTATGACTTTTTCAATGTCAGTAAACCTTATGAGCATAAATTGCGTGTTTAGCCAGACACATCAAGTTAAACTTAGCAGTCCCTTCAACCTTTATTAAACCTTCTGTTCTCATTCAACGATCCAAACGGATTAGAGAATTATTAAATTGTATCTGGTTAGCTTCAGAATAAAGCTGACTAACAAACTAGGGACTTGAAATGAATAATACCATTACGATTGGTGAACCCGACTTCTAACTCTCGCCACATCTGCTAACGTTTTTTCACAAAGACTACCATTTTTGTCACTCCGTTGTTGCGTTTGCCATATCGATACCTTTTAATATGCATTGTACTTGCAACAACTTTTAGCAATCGAGAATAGCCATATGGATATTGATATTACAATAGACTCCTAAGTATAAGTTATTAAGTTCCGACCAGTTTCCTTCATCCCCCACGTTCCGGAAGTCTGGCTCACGGCACTCGAAACCAAGTTTGAGGTGTTCCGCATTACGAGCCAGCGGGAAAGATACAATTATACTCTGGAGACTTTACCTGATGATCACATTGCAGCTGACTGTTAGGTTGTCTTCAACTCTGTCACACCTAATGTCTACGATCGTCTCAAGGAGGTGATTATCGCGCACTCCCTCCTATCGAGGGCGGAACAGTGGAGGACCATATTAGCACATAACCCTCGAGACTGTTCCGTCATTCCAGAAACACACGTCCTACGAGCCAGATCACGAACAAGTAGCGCTGTAATTTCTCGCCCTACGCGAGCATCTTTCAAGCCATGCCAAAATGTGGCTACGGAACTGAGTCCCTGCTGGTTTCACTGCGCCTTCGGATCCAGATTCCGCGGTTTCCTAGCCCCGTCCTTATACAGGGCGGGAAAATCCTATGCCGGCAGGTAAATACAGCCGTACTCTCTGGCCCCTCACCTTCAGTAGGTCCCTTATTTTATGTGCATAAATATCGCACTAACGCTAAGTATTTAGTAGGTACAGGTGCCCACGTTCCAGTTGTAACGAATAGTAACAGCAAGTCTCAAGCTATGGCGATTCGGCTACGCGCTAAGAATGACTCAGCCACTGCTACATATGCCACACAAAAGCTAAAAATCAACTTAAATAAATGACGGCAGTATCTGTGGGCGTTCATCATTGCCCATTTTCCTCAGCCATGTTCGTAAATTGAGAATAAATTATCATTATTATTATTATCAATATCGATTTCCAACGGCACTATGAATCGCAAGTCGATTCACATAGGCTGCAGTTATTCGATACTCCATCGAATATTAAATCCAAGGGTTTCAGAGCTCTAACAGATGTGTACCGCGCACTTCATTCACGTGGTAATGTATTTCACACTTCACTCAAAAAGTTCTTCCAACTAACTTAACCTTTCGAGGAGATCCCATGGGTAACTAATCGTGTGGTACACCACATCGCCAACCACGGCCCCCAGTCAGCGCAAAACATCGACAACTGACGCTGGACAGATTAGCTTTAGCTAAGCCTGAGTTTAGAAATTTACTAGCTGCAGGTATTGTTTGTCCTTCTAGTGGTCCCTTGGCCTTGCCTCTCCATATGGTTCGAAAGGAGAATGGTGTGAATTGGAGACCGTGCGGCAGCTATCGAGCAATAAACGTAGACACACGTTTTGTTAGATACCTCATCCACCACATATACAAAATAACGGCATCACTCAAGGGCATGACTATCTTTTCGAAAGTTTATCTGGTACGAGCATATCATCAGATCCCAGTCACACCTGAGAACAGAGAAAACTGCTACCACAACTCCTTTTGGTCCGTCTGAGTTCCTACTAATGTCATTGGAATTACGGAATGCTGCTCTGATTTTCCAAAGGTTTATCGACAACAGAGCACGTGACTTAGATTTTTATTAACGTCTACACTGACGACCTGCAAATCGCATCATCAAACGCAGATGAACATTATCAGCACCTAACACTGCTATTCTAGCACCTCTAGGATAATGGAATGATAGTCAACCCGGACAAGTGTGGGTTTGGCATATCCGAAATAACAATTTCTTAGGCCTCTGCACTTAGGAAGAGAGAATTTCACCTTACGAGAACGAAGTACGTGCAGTAACGAAGCACAATTTACCGCCCACATTCAAGAAACTGAAGACATTCTTCACTCTGTTTAACTTCTACCGACGTTTCATCCCACACGTGGCAGAACGCTTACGACCATCAACCAACCTACTCCACCGTAATCTAAGTAAGTCAGAATTGACCGATGCCGCGCGTGTTGCCTTTTTAGAGGTCCGAAGAGCTTTGGTTTAAGCCACATTTCTCGCTCATCCTGACCCTTCAGCCTTGCTTAGTGTAGCGACTGATGCATCGGATTTTGCCATAGGAGCCGTAATGCAACAGGACATTTCCGAAAGCTGGCAACCTCTTGAATTTTTCTCATAGTGCTTCATTTCCACGGAAACGAGATATAACACTTTTGATAGAGAAATGCTAGCAACCTACTGTGCCATTATATATTTCGGGCACGCAATAGAAGGTCGCGACTTCATCTTATTCACAGACCATGAACCTCTAAAGTATGCGCTGCATACCAAGTCTGATCGTCATTCTTTCCAAGAGTGCAGACATTTAGTCTCCATCCCCAAGTTCATGATATATGAAGGACGAGTCGAACTAAGTTGTCACTTATCCAAGTAAATGCAGTTATTTCACCGGTGCTTGATCTCACCGCTATGGCTGCCCCCCGATTACGCTTTTCCTTTTGTGCGGAAAGGCTACATTCTAAATTCCTTCAGTGCCGGAAAATACCCCTAGCTACTAGCTCAGGTACAATCGCGTGAGATACCTCCACTGGTCTTCCTCGATCCATCGTACCCTCCGCTTATCGTCGTTTCGTCTTCGATGCCCTTCAAGGGCTGACTCATCCAGGTATCGCAGTTACATTATCTATCGTCGCTGCACGATTCGTGTGACTGTCCATGAATAAAGATATCTGTATGTGGGTGAAGCAATGCTCAAAATGTCTATGATTGAAAGTGCATAGGCACGTAGCTGCCCCTGCTGGCACGTTTGCTAAGCCTGATGCTCGCTTCGATCATGTTCATATAGACATTGTAGGACGATTGCCACCATCGCATGAGTGTGATCACATTCGTGCATCAATCGCTTCACAAGATGGCCCAACGATTTTCCCATCGCTTCTATTACGGCGGAAAAAGTTGCTCACTGCCTGGTAGAACAATGAATAGCGTTGTATCGTTGTATCTCCACTGTCATAACTGACTGAGGACTACAACTCGAGTCCGATTTATTCTCCTCGCTGGCCAGGCTGCTTGGTTTAAAACGCATAAGCACTACAGCCTACCACCCAGCTTCCAATGGTCTAGTCGACCAGGTTACATCGCCAACTTAAAAGTGCTCTTCGAGCACAGGAAATCAACAATCGGTACGAAACCTTACCGTTTGTCCTGTTAGGTATTAAAAGGAACTCAAAGGCAGATATTGAATGTTTCGGCGCTGAAGTGGTATACGGCTCGACACTGCGTCTACCTGTGGAATTTTTCACACCACAGAGCAGTGGTAACTTCAATAAATCAGACTACGTCCAACGATTGTCAGATTCATGAGAACACTGCCTTCGGTGTCAACTCGATTTCAGTATCTCTAGGACGCTCTCCGTCGAAAGTTATCTACCTCTTCATACATTTTCATACGAGTAGGCGCAGTGCGCAAACCTTTGCAGCAGCCTTACGAAGGACATATTCACGTGATTCATCGTCATGAAAAGACATCCATGTTTGATCGATATGGCCCTGTCAAGATAGACAACATTGGTTGTCTCGAACCAGCACACATCAATGACATTGCCCCACCCGATAAACTGAGATTCAATGCTATGCTCATCCAACCTACTAGCGGGATCCCTACGTCTCCTTCGAGCCCCAAGTTGAATACATCGGAGGCCAATTCCCCACGTCCCAGTCAACAGCACGCGTCATCCGTACTATCTACCGAAGAGACTTTTACTCACCTCCAGATCATCAGACACCGCCACCCTTGACTTTAGGTGGGATTACAGTCTCACAATCTCAACCACGAGGTAGGAACGGGACTAACGTCTCAAGTTCGGGTCGCGGGTTATATCTACCTGTTAGCTTTCGCGAATAAACTCTTAATTAGAATCACATGGGGTATATGATTCTGTCCTGTACTTCATCCTCGCTACACCACTTTTTATTATCTTTCATTTTTTATCCTGAGCTCACTCCTACGACCATCGTCATGCTGTTACAGTCGACTTCAGTTCATCTTGACAACAGCTGACCTGATCACACATGCTCTTGTCAATGCACGCAGTCGAAATTCTGGTTGTGACTACGTCTGGCATGTATATAATCCCGATATTAGTTATTAGATGCGCATCTAGTTTCTTGGCTCAGTGTGGTTTTATCCTAGGTTTGCAGCCTTTTCTGGACCCTACGAAAGCTAACATCAGATTCCAGATACAAACCACGCCAACTCGGGCAACAAACACAGAACGTTACTCCTGGTACCATTCTCCCTAACTCGAGCATCATGGATCGCTTCTTGTTCGTAAGCCCTTCCATTCTACAATCATAAGTTTGCCGATCAGTCCCACGAACGAAACCGCTATATATTGACAGTGTTAACCCTTTCTAGCGGGGAACTACTGTAGTGACTCCACTTTTATAAAGAGAATGCGACTG